ATATTATATATACGAGGGCTTCCCAAACTGTGCGTCGCGATACTCCAGTGCGTGTGTCTTGGGCGAAGCGACGCATCACGATCTTGTCTCATGGGCATCGCGACCTTGTCTCATGGGCGTCGCGACATTGTCTCAGGGGCATGTGACGTTGTCTCAGGGACGTCGCGACATAGTTTCATGGGCATCGCGATGTTGTCTCAGGGCGTCGCGACCTAGTCTCTTGAGCCTTGCGACATTGTCTCAGGGCGTCGCGATCTAGTCTCATGGGCGTCGCGACTTTGTCTCAGGGGTGTCACGAGTCGATACGACATAGTGATCTTGTATACTTACATAAATATCTCTTATTATTTTTGTACTCATGTTTTGAATTTGTTCTAATTTTCTAATAACAATTATAAATATCCAAGCAGTGTTTTTCTGTTAACCTATTACTAGGCTAGTACTAAAATTGGTAAGTATTTTTAGAGGCTGGGTTGAAGGACGTCGCAAAAAAATATCCAAGACCTAATGGCGTCATAATACGAATAAGTTTGGGAAGCCCTGATATATACCGTATATGTAATGAATATAAATAACTCAAATTCATAAATACTAGATATAATACAACAAATGTATAGATTACTAGTCAGAAAAGTGTATAGACATATATAAAATTTAAAAACTACCCTACTTAATAAAAAATGCAAACAATATATACTATTTTGGACAGTAAAACCGTTATAATATATATAGTTAAATATTATAATATATAACTATTTTCTTATCATTACTCTTTTGGAATAAATTGATAAGTATTTAGTTGCTTCATTCTTTTTTAAAAATTAAATACAATAAAAAGAAAATTTTATATCCACCAATTCGCGTAGATTTTCTAATGGCAACATTTAATGTGGCGAAAGTTTCTATAATATTTCATTAATTGCTACATGTCTGTCAAAATAAGCAGTTGCTATAAACTTTTATATTATTATTATTAATAAAGCTTTAACTTCCACATAATATTTTTCAAACATTATACTTTTGGTTTATTTATTATTTTTTTCTATTATGTGGCCCCCTCGGGTAAAAGCCTCCTTCATCTTCCGCCATCCCTCTCTATCATTGCAGTTCGCATCCAGTCTATTCCTGCTATGATTTTTATGTCATCTAAGTTTTAATCCCATCTTAAAAAAAAGATTTCAACCTTTATATTAACTACTTAAAATAAAATAATACAGTGAGATCCATTTTGAAACATCAATTATCTAACTCTATCATAAAATAATAATTTAATTGTTATGTTGAATTTAGCTACATCAAACAAATTAAAGACAAAATCGGAGTCGTGTTGTATCTACATTTAAAGAGCTGATGGAAGATGGTTGCAAGTGGCAAGAGCTCCACCGACAGAGCGTGGCTCTTAAATTATGAATGATTAGTGGAGAATTTAGAGTTAATCATCAGTAGTCTGCCATATCTCTACCAAAGAATGGTGTGCAAAGTAAGCTGTTTAATATCTGAAATACTGCAGACAGAAGACATGTGTATTCTGTTTCTATTTTTATTTCTTTATTATTCTATGTTTTTTTATTTCTGTATTCTTTATTCTATGTTGTTGGTCGCATTTGGCCTTTACAGCTTCTGACTGACGGACGACTGTACTCCAAACCCGCGGAAGGACTTATGGAGCGGCTGAAGGCCAACTCTCGCCTGACGGATACGACTTTATTATGAAGCACCGCTAGGGGATCGAACCTCAGATCAGGATGATGTAATTTCGATCCCTATCTAAATTGGATATGGATCGGACGATCGGAGGGGACCGTTTTGGTAAACATTACAAAATGTACACGTAAATTTTCAAATTTTGCAGTCGTATTTATCACTTTAGTTCGACTAATTTTTAAGATAACAGTTGAGCTAGCTTCGCAATCTCAAATTGATGTTTTATTTATTATTTAGATAGTAACACAGTATCAAACTGAATATATTTTTTATTATTTAGAATTAGAAAATAACGCTTCAAAATGACGCACTGCCTAGGGCAATCTAAATTTATTGGACGTTGAGATTCTATTAATTTTCTCGCAATAAAATTCAAAATGGCGTCCATACGCTGAGCTAATTCACATAAGACTTATATAGCACGGCAACGATCTCCATAAACTCTGTTTTTATTTACTTAAACTATAATTAGATAGGTATCACTACGAAGCATTTTATAGGAAAATCCTAATCACATTCAGAAATATTTACTTCTAAATATATAATATAAATGTATATCTTATTGTATATTTTAACAATAAACATACTATTTACAACTACTGTTCATGTTTGATATGTATTCAGTGCCCCAGAGTACTAAGCTATACTTAACTAAATAATATAACAAGATTATCTCATTTAATCTAAACTGTACTTAAATACTACAAATTGTGGTTTATAGAAAACCAAAATGGTTTTATCACCAATACGAAATATCGTATTTAAAACTCCAATTCCTAATCCTTATGATATAATGAAGTAAATATATTACAAAGTTATATATATATGATATGTTTTAGTATTAACGAGTGAGTTTGTAACTCAAACTGTCTGATATGTATAATTTATATATAATTCTTCAAGACACTTATATTAGATATATGTATATTATATAACATATATAAAGAATAATAGACGCTGTAGACAATTTCAACAAAAGTTTCTATTATCGGAATTAATTTCAACAAAGATCTATCTTCGGTTCTGAAACACTACCAAGCATTTTATAGGAAAAGCCTAATCATATTGAGAAATATATACTTCTAGGTACATACAATATTATATACTATATCTTACTATATGTACATTATTATATAATAATAAACATACTATTTACAACTACTGTTCATGTTTGATATGTATTCAGTGCCCCAGAGTACTAAGCTATACTTAACTAAATAATATAACGAGATTTTCTCATTTAATCTAAACTGTACTTAAATACTACAAATTGTGATTTTTCACCAATATATTTCATATTAATAATGAAATTGGTACTTTAAAGTCCAATTCCTTATCCTTACGATATATATGTATGATCTTATATGTATTTAATATAATTACATTTAATTTATTAAAACTAAAGCGCCTTCGAGTCTCTCTGCACTCCCTAAGGTTGACTGGTAGAGAATGCCATTAGCATTAAGCCAGTCTATTGTACAAAATCAATAAAGTTTTAAATAAATAATAATAATAATAAGTAAATATGTAAATACATTACATAAGTTATATATATATATATAAATATATGATATGTGTTAGTATTAAGTAGTGAGTTTGTAACTCAAACTTTCTCATACGTATCATTTATATCTCATCTCATTCTTCATTATACTTATATATATAACACATATAAATAATAATATGTAGATTGCATGAGTAATATGATGTTTAAAATTAACAAGTCAACAATTTGTTAATTTGCTCGTAATGTCAATAGAGATTCAGTTTTGGTTCTGGAACATCACATTAAGAAATATTTACTTGTAAATACAATATTGTATATATAAATATATATCTTATTATATAAAGTTTATATCTTAATAATAAACATACTATTTACAACTACTGTTCATGTTTGATATGTATTAAGTGTCCCTTCAGAGTACTAAGCTATACTTAACTAAATAATATTACGAGATTTTCTCATTTAATCTAAATACTACAAATTATGGTTTATAAAAACCAAAATAGTTTTATCACCAATATTAATATTTTTAAGTCAAAATTTTCTAATACTTATGGTATAATAACATTAATAAGAGTATGATTTACATAAGTTATGATATATATATGATATGTTTCAATATTTTATATAACACTTTCTGATATGTATAGTTTATATATCATTCTTCAAGTCACTTATATTAGATATATATTATATAACATATATAAAGAATAATAGACGCTGTAGACAATTTCAAAATTTTTGAGACAAAGTTTTTAATATCAAAATTGCTGATAATTTCAAGAGAGATTAATTTTCAGTTCTGAAACACTACCAAGCATTCTAAATACAACATTATATAATATATCTTATAATACATATATATTAGTATATAATAATAAACATACTATTTACAACTACTGTTCATGTTTGATATGTATTCAGTGCCCCAGAGTACTAAGCTATACTTAACTAAATAATATAACAAGATTATCTCATTCAATCTAAACTGTACTTAAATACTATAAATTGTGGTTTTTCACCAATATATTTCATATTAATAATGAAATTGGTACTTTAAAGTCCAATTTCCTAAACCTCAGGATATAACAAATTTATAATATATTATATGTATAATTTATGTCTCATCTCATTCTTATATATATATTATAAAACATATATAAAGAATAATAATCAATAAAAATTGCGGACATATTCGAAATTTTCGAGACAATATATGTAATATTAAAATTGTATCCTTATATATAAATATATATCTTATTATATAAAGTTTATATCTTAATAATAAACATACTATTTACAACTACTGTTCATGTTTGATATGTATTCAGTGCCCCTTCAGATACTAAGCTATACTTAACTAAATAGTATAACGAGATTATCTCATTTAATCTAAATTGTACTTAAATGCTAAAAATTGTGGTTTATAGAAAACCAAAATGGTTTTATCACCAATATTTCGTATTAATTGGTACTTTGAAGTCCAAATTTCTAATCCTTAGGATATAATAAAGTGAATATATTATATAAGTTATATATATGATATATTTTACAATTAAGGAGTGAGTTTTAAACTTCAGTTTTCTATAATAATAATGATTGTATATGTTTAAATATTTTATATAACACTGTCTGATATGTATAATTTATATATCATTCTTCAAGACACTTATATTATATATATATAAAGAATAATAGACATTGTAGATATAGATGCGGACATATTTGAAATTTTCGTGACAATATTTTCAACTTTATACGGAAATTTGATCGAAATTTCGAGAAAGATTCATTTTCTGTTCTGGAACATTAACTTCATGGAGTCCAGGGCCTCTTCGAGGAACTGGCGGAACGCCTCTGTGTTGGTAACGCTGGACGATGTGAATGAGGATATGCAGAAGATGACAGACTCCTTCTTGGGGTTGTAGGAGCAGCCGTACCCATCTGGCACCACAGCACCGTACCCCATGAAGGTACCGTCGGTAGTGGTCGCAACCTTGACAGTGTAGAAATGATAATAATCTCAGGACAATACACACAGCGCCATCTAGACCCAAGTTAAGCTAGCTAAAGCTTCTGTTATAGGCACTAGATGACTGATACAAATACATAGATATTTTTTCGTAAATACATATATATTATAAAAACACGCAGACCGATACAAACAATCATATCATACTCATGAATACAAATATTTGCATTGTGCGAGGAATCAAACCCGCGACCACAGGAAGCTAACCGGTGCGGTAAACCTCTAAACCACCAAGTCCGTTAGGAGGAGTCTCTCCACACAATGAAATTACGATGTAGGTGCTCGTTCTATTACTATTCAGAGACAATCAAATCAAAATATATTTATTCATGTAGGTCTATTACAGACTCTTATAATATGTCAAATCTACCGTCAGTTCGAAGTGTTTTCGAGCTAAGAAGAACTGACAAGAAACTCAGCTCATATTCTTTTCAAAATGTACATGTATACAATAATACAGATTCGTTTAAATTCAAATTTGGGAGAATAGAATGACCACCAGCATATACTATCACAATTTTCTAAAAAGGTATTGTCTAATCAGTGTCTATAACAAGAATAGACTAGGCCCCACAAGTAGTACCCGTTCACGAGAATAACGGATGTGCCAGCCATCATTGAAATTAACCATATTAGAAGGCACTTTGATCTGGCCATTTCAAGTTAGACCTATTATATTATCAGATATCAGGCAATATTTACTAACCGTACAACCGAGGGGTGAGTACTGGTCTACTGAGATACAGGCCTCGTGCCTAGTGCAGTCCCAGGATCCAATCCCAATAAATTCTTTATGAAAATGATTTAACATCTGTGTAGGATTGTTTATCAACTGCTTCTTCCTTATCACATTTATTTGTGGTCGTCATAATCTGTTTTTCTCTTCCATTCATCTCTGTTTCCAGTAATCTCAATATTTACTCCCTTTCTTACCATATAAATTGTTTACAAAAATGAATTATTAACTGTATATGATTGTTTATCATCTGCTTCTTCCTTATCCCATTTATTTGTGGTTTTGTGGTCGTTGTAATATGTTTTTCTCTTCCATTCATCCCTGTTCGCAGTCATCTCATTATTTACTCCCTTTCTTACCATATCAATTGTTTACAAAAATGAATTATTAACTGTATATGATTGTTTATCATCTGCTTCTTCCTTATCCCATTTATTTGTGGTTTGGTGGTCGTCATAATCTGTTTTTCTCTTCCATTCATCACTGTTCGCAGTCATCTCGTTATTTACTCCCTTTCTTACTATATCATCTTTCACACAGTCCATCCATGTCTTTTTTTTACCTGTATATGATTGTTGCTTAATAAATTTATTAATCTAATTTAATTCTTACCTGACTCGTGCTGAGTTTGTATTCGATCATTTGTTTGTAAGTAACGTCGGTGAATACTGGTGGAAGTTCTCCCAGGGTCTCCCGCGCCAGTTCCCGCAGCCCTAACAGGTGGTTATCTATCCCTTTACCCAGGATATTGGCTTCCATAATCGAGGTCTGCTGACGAGCTGCTTCTTCAAATTTCTCCAATCGTTTCTGTTCCTGATGGTTGACATATAGTGTAAATATATATATATATATATAATATATAAATATATTATTAATTGTAGTATTCAAAATGCACGTGCTGTCTAATAATAAGTATATAGAGCAGTGTTGCCAACAAAGTTTTAGCAAAACGATATTTTTTTGTGGAACTGGAAATGCATTTATTTGCCATTCCAATCATCAGCACATGACTGTCCATACTTGTTGTACTGCCCATATTTTTAATTTATTCCCATATTTTTCAATGTTTTTTTAATCTGTAAACATTATTTTTTCCGCTTTATAAGACTACCCTAAATCTACTAATATACTAGAAACAATATTTTCCCACCAAATGGTAAATACTTTTAATTGATTTCAAAGACCACTAAAAACATACCCATTGGAATCTTATATTATAATGGTACGTTACTAAGTTGGCAACATTGAATATAGAGAGATTCAAGAACATAGTAATGAAGTACCGGAGTCTCTAGAAGAGATCTTATCAAGGCCTGCACTATTTAAGACTTTATATAAATTTATTTCCAACACTGGGAAGAAATTATATTTTTTTTTTTAAGTTTTTATATTTTATGTTGGGCTAAAAAGGACTTGTATCCAGAGCCGTAAAACATATTAATAAAAGAAAGTAGAAAATAAAGAAAGTGATTAAATAGTAGCTGGCAGGTTACATTAATAACATAGTCCAAGAGCGCGTAAATTTTAAAGAACATATCAGTGTAGTAAGAGAGGCATGCTATACTTGTTAGGACATGTGGAAAGAATGTCAAATGAAAGTGTCATGTAGAGATACGATGCAAAATCATGGATGCAGGTACCGTGGAAGTCTTAGACAGATCTAACATTATTAATTGAGATATCTTTGTATATGCGTATATTGTTTATTATAATAATAGAAACATTTCAAGACAAATTTTACAGCGCCATCTAGTCCCAAGCTAAGCAGAGCTTGTATTACTAGAAAACTCATATAAATACATTTTTTAAAATACATAATATATAGAAAAATCGCAGACACAAACGATCATACTCATGAATACAAATGTCTGTACAGTGCGTGGAATCGAACCCGCCACCATCGGAAGTAAGACAATGTGCTAAACCTCTAAACCCGGTGGTCGTCCATTTTGCCGCTAAGAAACTTCCTCTACGTGGTCGAGTGGAATGAGTAGTCATGCTCACTAAAATGTCCAGACATGTGGCGGCGTGGTGGGCCGGGCCATTGGGCTCCCTAAAATATGGTCGAGCGCAGTGATGGCTGGCTCATCCCGAGTATGACACTCGTGAACGAGTGCTGCTTGTAGGGACTGGTCTGCTCTTATCTCTACGACTGATTTAATCTTATTGTGCTTTTATATTTGAGCCTAAATAAATTAGTACTGGTTGGTAGTTTGTATTCACACGTTTCGACTTGTAAAATGTGAACTTACAAGGATTGTTTAAAAGAGCAACACACAAGTTTCTTGCTTATTCTTCTTGTGATGAGACAGCTTTACGAATAAGCGGTAGATTTAAAAAAATGTTGACTATTCAAAAGTGCTTAAATTAAGTTTATTTGAATAAATGATTTTCTATTCTATTCTATTATACAAACTGTTCAGAAATTTAGAGAATAAAATCATAACTTTTTTTTATCGTATGTTAAAATATCATAATATTGTGCTATTTATCAGTTATGGTCGTACAGAAAACCTTAAATATAAAAATATTTATATATATATGTGTTGAAGTTTATTATTTATATATTAGACAATACATGATGGGTAATGCATTTTTTTTTAATTATATAAACTCGGAGAAGGGCGTCTATATTCGCAACACAGTTTTATACTTCTGTGAATATCATCCTTTCTTCAGTAAATAAATGAATACTTACATTCATTGCCCAACAGTATAAAAAATATATTTTTTTTACATATAATAAACTGTTAAGGGAGAACCAAGACAAACACGCAAGTTTCTTGCTCGTTCTTCTTGTGATACAACAGCTATCCAAATGAGCGGTAGATTAAAAGAATGGCTACTGTGACTATTGAAATGTGTTTAATTTTACGTTTATTTGAATAAACGATTTCTATTCTATTCTGTTCTGCTTCTGTATCTGTCTTCTTAATTAAATAAATCTACATTGTAAATGAGTGGCAGAATAAAAAAGTTGCAATAAAATTTATTTCAATAAACAATATTTATCAAATCCCGTACGCATGACAAGAGTTAAGAAAATAAATAAAAGAAAAGACTAGAGAAGGAGAGAGAAAGAGACGAGAGGAGAGTAAGAGTAAGCCTATTGGTACGCTCGGTTCTCTCTGCTTACTCTGTAAAGGTGTAGATAATTAAGAAAAAGTGGAAGATTTAAGAGAAAGTGGAAGATGTAAGAGAAATAAAAGAAGTAGCAAGAAAATCTCCAAAATAGTTTAAATAGAGTATGAAAGAAGCATACGAAGATATGTGAGATATTGAAGAAAGTCATGTGTACCAGCATTCCATTATTCGCAAGCATATAGATGTTTAATAAGTGACGACTTTCAAATGAAGAGTTGTGAAGTAAATACCATATCTTTTGTGTAATTTGTGTCTATAGTGGAATTAGTTTATCATCATTGCATAGTATAAAGTCGCTGTCGCTGTCTGTCCCTATGTATGCTTAATATTAAAATAATATCTTTAAAACTAAGCACACGGATTTTGAAGAGGTTTTTTTTAATAGATATAATGATTCTAGAGGAAGGTTTATATGTATAATAGATATACATACAGGCGAATGTAGGACATTTTAACCTCAAAGTTTTCTATATTAATAATTTTTCCCTTACGTTCTGTACAGATTCAATTTAGAAGAACTGGCAAGAAACTCAACTAAATGATTTTTTTTCAAGACTAATTGAAATTAAACTGAAGAATCATTATTCTGAGTTATAGACCGTTTTGTTTCCTTCATTACTTTTAATATTTATAGTAATTTTTGTTTGAGACAAATAATTATGATTATCATTATGATTACTAGTTACTCGCCCCGGATTCTTTTCTTCTTGAATCACTCTACCTATAACCCTAAAACCGCTTCAAACCTATTCTCATACCTACTGAATATACATATACTATGACACAAGAATTTTATATAGTAGACTACCTACTCGCCCCGGCTTCGCCCGCATGTACATGTATTATACATATAAACCATCCTCTTGAATCGCTCTATCTATTAAAAAAACCGCTTCAATATCCGTTGCGTAGTTTTAAAGATTTAAGCATACATAGGGACAGAAAGCGACAGCGAGTTTGTTGTATACTATGTAATGGTGATACTGATTCCACTGTAATTGATCGCTCTTAGCACCAAGTAATGTCCCAGCCGATAACAAAACGTGTCCACTACTCTTACATTGTAAATGTCCTCACCCCGTACAAATTGAACGAGACCTTTTTCTGGTGGTCGTCCACTGGTTCAGTGAGGGGTGACTTGTCAGCTGAAGACATGGCTTCGGCCCATGCGCGCGCTGCCTCGTGAGCAGACCGGATGTTGTCCACGCGACCGGCCCGGAAGCGCCGGAGAGACGCCGATTCGTATGTGCTTACCAGATATCCGTACATCCTGGGATTTATTTATTTATTTATTTATTTGACGCTACTAATGTATATATTATAAATATCTTATTTAAATTATTAACCAAGTCTTAACACGAATAATTTTATAGCAAATAAAGGTATATACCTCTCTCGACGTTATATAATAATAATAATAATAATCTCAGGACAATTCACACAGCGCCATCTAGTCCCAAGTTAAGCTAGCTAAAGCTTGTGTTATGGGTACTAGATAACTGATATAAATACATAGATTTTTTTTTTTCGTAAATACATACATATTATACATAGAAAATACCCAGACCGATACAAACAATCATACTCGTGCATACAAATGTTTGTGTCGTGCGAGGAATCGAACCCGCGACCATTGGACATAAAGCGGTGTGCTGGACCGCTATACCACCAAGGTCGTCAATCGTCTAGACGTTTCGACTAGGTTGCAATTTCGACAGAGAGGATGACTTAAAATTATCATCTGCGTGGAATCCAGTCATAAATAAATTCAAGCAAAGTTCAGTAGCATCAACAGTCGATAAGTGTACGGATACCGTGAGTGCTGTGTGTCGCGAACTTTCGTTGAACAATCTAGTGACGGTAGATGAAGAAAAAACTGCTGTCACCTATCTACATTGACATCGCTGTTACTCCAGTCAGCTCGTGACCACGGCTAGTGCAACCTAGTCGAAACGTCGAGAGAGGTAAATACCTTTATTTGCCATAAAATTATTTGTGTTAAGACCCGGTTAATAATTTAAATAATGTATATTAAACACGAAAGTTTAAAATTAACTATAAATATCTTTTAGATAAACATACATATGAATGGTATTGAAATTAATATGAAATCCTTACTGTGGCGTAGTGGTAACCAAGGGCCCTGGGCCAAAAAAAATGGGGCCCCACTGCTGAGCAGTCGGGCCCTACATTACAGTTTTATTAAAATTCACATATCGCTATCCGTCAAATTGACAACACTGCTAACCCACAGAAAGAATTTAGGGGAATTCAGAAGGTATAACTTTCGAATTTCTCTCAACTGAGTTGCCATGATTAAAGTTGGGTCCAGTCATATTTATTTTGAAAATGGGAGAAATTTTCAAAAGTTCAGTTCGATCGAGATTTTCTGGTAAGGGTTCGAAGGCCCCCTGAGCTTGAGGGCCCTGGGGCACTGCCCGGACTAGCCCTTAGCTATGTAGCTACGTTACTGCTAATACTATAAATGCGAATGTAAATCTGCATGTCTGTCTGTCGAGCTCTCACGCCAAAACTAATCATTCGATACTACTTGTAAATGAATCTATATGTTTATACTAAGATAATTTTTTTTATCTATATATAATACATACTTATAATATGCATATTGTAAAGCGAGCTGGATGTAGACGTCAGGGCTGGTGCGGCATGACTTCATAAATTCGCGGCCGTACCCGCGGTATGTGTAAACCTTGAAGTCCAAGTCTAATATAGCCCTGAAAAAAAGTATAGATCATGAAAGTAGAGAAAAGATGTTACTCTGTTCTCTGTGCTTATTCATAAGGATCTAGCGTGAATATAAATAATCTTATTAAATTATAAATGCGAAAGTATTGCTAGCTATTAATAACATATTAACATATATATTGCATGTTATAAATACGTAGGATCACCTTTGACATATTGACATCTAGTACTAAATTGTAAAAAAACATATACCAGCGCCACACCACCGTTGTCCTTCAACCGCTCCATAAGTCCTTCCTTTGGTTTGGAGTGCCATCTGCACTCGCCCCTATAGTCCGGTGAAGCTGTAAAGGCCAGCTGCGGCCAACAGCATTAGAGTAATCCGAAAAAAAAAATTATTATGGAAAATATACACAGTTCAGTGCTATCCTTGGGTTTTATTTTTCTACTATATAAGGTAATAATAATAAAGTCTAGATCTAGTACAGTTCGGGTCGTTAGTACAGCACTAAATAATATCTCAGGACAATTTACACAACGCCATCTAGTACCAAGGTAAGCAGAGCTTATGTTATATAGTAGGTACAAGAATAATGATATAAATAAATATATATATTTCTTTTTGTAAATACATATATCATCATCATTGCCTTGCCTTTATCCCATTATTTGGGTTCGGCGCAGTATGTCATTCTCTTCCACTGATCTCTATCAGTCGTCATATTATCTAAACATACTCTTCTTTTATTCATATTTATATCCATTTGTAAATACATATATATTATAAATATATGAAATCCAGACCGAAAACAATCATACTCATGAATATGTTTGTATTGCGGAATCGAACCTGCAGCCATTAGAAGTGCGCTGAATATATTAAGATTTCTCAAGGGTCGGCAACGCGCACGTGACATCTCTGGTACGGTAACCGTTTACCATCAGATGGGCCGTATGCTGTTGCTTTACCATCGTATGCTTGTTGTATAATAAAACTAATACTAACCGGTCCAGCTCCCTAGCAGCATACTCGATGGTTCTATGAACATCAGGTGTGATGTTCCACCTCATAGCCTGTGGTGCCGGCAGCAGTGCTGGTGGGGGTGCAGGCCTGGATGCCACCTCGGCCCTGGCCAGCGCCCGTTCTGCAAGCCTCACCACCGCCACGCCTTCAGCCGCACTATGCTCATAGCACATACCTACCGTACCATCTGAGGAGATGATCAGCTGGAAAGAACAAGTTTTTTGTATCTCCAAGTTTTTCTTTAATAGCTGAAAGGGGAACGGGGAAAGTCATGCTGCCATTCTTCTAGAAAGTAGTAGATCGTGAGTTCAAACCGACCTGCATGAAAAACAATCGTAGGATCACTCTTGACATATTGACATGTAGTCCTAAGTTGTAAAAACATATACACCTATCCAATAGTAAATACCAATATTATAAAGCTGAAGAGTTTGTTTGTTTGAACGCGGTAATCTCAGGAACTACTAGTTGCAATTGAGAAATTCTTTTTGTGTTGGATAGTCCATTTGTCGAGGAAGTCTTTAAGCTATATAACATTACGCTACGACCAATAGGAGCGGAGCATCGGTGTAAAAATGTTGCTAAAACCACAGATAACATAATATTACATACTAAAACGGAGAAAATTATTCATATTTGAGGGCTTCCGTTGCGTGCGCTGCATAAACGGTTCAAGTTACCCAAAAAAAATATATATGAAAGAATTATTTCACTTTAAATGATCCAAAAAAATGTCCGCGAATCGCGTTAGTGTTTTTGATAAACACACGAACGAAGTCGCGTGCACAGCTACTGCGTAATATAGATACATAAAAAATAACCCTTACGAAAATGAAAATCATAATTATTGTTTAAAATAAACCCTAAATCTGTGCTTAAGATTACCATATTATATGCGTATTTATAGAATAGAATAGAATAGAAAATCATTTATTCAAATAAACTTACATTGAAGCACTTTTGAATAGTCATCACATTTCTTTTTAATCTACTGCTCATTCGGAAAGCTGTCTCATCACAAGAAGAACGAGCAAGAAACTTGTGTCTTGCTCTTTTAAATAATCCTTGTAAGTTCACATTTAGAAGTCGAAACGTATGAATACAAACCAACCAGCATTAATTTTTTCGGGTCAGATATAAATATACAATAAGATTAAATCAGTCGTAGTGATAAGAGCAGACCAGTCTCTACAAGCAGCACTCGTTCACGAGTATGACGGATGAGCCAGCCATCACTGCGCTCGACCATATTTTAGGGAGCCCAATGTCCCGGCCCACCACGCCGGCAAATGTCTGGACATTTTAGTGAGTACTCATTCCACTCGACCACGTCACAGCTACTTATATAGTTGAAACACTCAACTTCTTCTTTCTGTATTGTACTGTTAGTGTGAGTTTAGATTTAACTATTTTTTGTCCACTCATTCTCGAGTATTTGCATGGATGATAAATGTAATTTCACTTTCTTATATTTTTTTAACAGACTTTATTTTTCAAAGACAAGTTAAGTATTTATAAATTATATGTTTAGGCTGTATATGGTTATTTCGTTGCCATATAATTATAAAAAGAAAATATGTATTCTTGAATAAAATATGGTGGGAAATACACAGAAATTATATTGTTAAATAAAGTATTTTTATTCCATCAACCTCGGACTTATTCATTGGTCTAAACGAGCCGGATTGGAACACAAACAAATTGTTCAGGTTTTCAGATAGTTTTTTGGAAATATTAACTATCACTTGCTACGTTACACTAGGCAGCGGGACGTTGTCTAGAACATTCCATTAGCAAAGCGTCAAGGCTACACGTTAAAGCAGTGGAGGAACCGGGTTGTAACTCTCGGAGGAGTAACGTACGAGCGGATCAAGGTCGAGGTTGAAGGCTACCACGGAACCAAGCATGATGTGCATGGAAAAACGGTGAAATTGGAGTCAAATAATATTAAAGTGTTGTGGTGTATGCGGTGCGCAATTTGTGAGTACATTACATTTCCTTATATTGAAATAAAACGGATAGTAAATTTTGGAGAAGAAAGAATTTAGAAAATCGTCATATTTTACACACAATAGAAGATTAAAATTATATTTGTTAAAAAATATTAATTAGTTGCGGATTTTTAATTTTGTAGTATTATAATTACCTATGTATTGTGGACATTTTAATTTTGTTGGATTATAAATTTTGTGGCGTCACTTAGTTCGAAATTCAAAGAACGCGCCATTCGAAATTTAAATATTTGTACATTTTATTAGAAATTTATTATTAGTTCATTTTATTTAATTCCTATGAGTACAAAAATGGATTCAATTATTAAATGTCAATACGATTTACATTTGAGAATAAATAAAAATAGAGATAAATTTAAACAGAGTTCTAACGATAGGCTTACTAAGGAGTATATTGAAACGCGGCTTGAAAGTGTTGAGTCTTTATGGCTTGAATTCTTTTCTGGTCACAAGGAACTCATACGTTGTAGTGACTCAGAGAAATTAAATAGGTCAAACTATGTAACTGACGAGATTTATTATAATACGGAAGAATTGTATTTAGAGTATAAGAGTGATTTAAAATTAATTTTATGTAAATTTGATACGAATGATGAAACAAATGTAATCAATTCTAGTGCTAAGTCATATCAAATACGTCTTCCTCAGATCAACATTCCTATTTTCTCAGGGAATTATTTGGAATGGACTAGTTTTAGGGACTTATTTCTGTCACTAGTGCATTTTAACAACGATTTAAATAATGTAGAAAAGTTGCATTACTTGAAGGGATATTTGTCTGGCGAAGCCGAGCAATTATTGCGACATATACCAATTGCAGGCGTTAATTATAGTAGATGTTGGTCACTTTTGGAGGAACGCTACAATAATAAAAAATATTTATCACATTGTATTCTTAAAAGATTAATTAGTCAGAGAAATTGTTCTACGGAGTCTGCTTCTGGAATAAGAGATTTAATAGATACAACAACAGAGTGTTTAGAGGCATTATTAAGTTTAGGAATTGATGTTACAAATTGGGACGTATTAGTTATTCACATTATATCATTAAAATTAGATCCGGAAACAAAAAGGCAGTGGGAATTTAATATTGCGAACAGTATTAATTCAGACGGTTTACCAACATTTTGTCAATTTAAGGAATTCCTTACTAGTCGATTTAGAGCATTAGAGTTTATAGAATGTAATGTCAGTAAATCAATCAAATGTCATACGGTTAATGTTAATACATCTGATGATCGGAAGAGTATACCATTTAGTTGTCAATATTGTTGCGGTTCTCATAAAATAGGTTTTTGTAAAAAGTTTGCAGCGACCGATACCGATGCTAGACGGGATTTTGTTCATAAAAATGGTATATGCTTTATTTGTCTGGGTTCTAATCATATTGCTAAATACTGTAAAAACACCGCCAGATGTCGGATATGCAAGGGACGACATCATTCTCTATTACATCCACGAATATATAATAATAAGTCAGGATCAAATCAACAATTTTGTAAAACAGAGTCAATTAAAAAAGAAACATCGGCAGGTTTAAAATCGGAATTACAAGAGGAACAACAATCTACACCTGTTGTGTCTTATTTTACGACAGGGGGATCGGATAAAACTACATTATTAGCCACAGCTCTGGTAAAGGCTGAGTCGGGAAATGGGAAACATCAGGTCATAAGAGCCTTATTAGATCAAGGTTCAGAGGCATGTTTTATAACGGAGGCTACGGTTCAGCTTCTTGGTTTAAAAACAGTTCCGACGAATAGTATTATTCACGGAGTCGGTGGAGAAGAGAGTACGAAGTCAAAATCGGTTGTTAATATAAAGATACAGTCCATTATCGATTCTACTTTTGAGATAGAGATTACGGCTTATGTTTTGAAATCTGTAACGAATATCCTGCCCGTAACTCGAGTAACTCCTATTGAATGGGATAATATAGCGATTTCAGACTTAGCAGATCCACAATATCACATACCTAGCACAGTTGATATCTTGTTGGGTGCTAACGTTTACAGTACAGTAATAAATGAAGGGTTAAAGAAAAGTAAACAAGGTTGTTTAGTAGCTCAATCAACTGTATTTGGTTGGATAATATCTGGTGTTACAAATACATATAAGTCATTATCTTCACATAGTACGCCAGTACATTGTTATGTCCATCCAGATGTCAGGAATAATTTATCTGCAAAGGAATATACATTATTAGAATTAAAGGTACATAAAAACAAAAAGTTTAAACAAAAGTATAATGAAGTTATGTATGAGAATATGTACACTAAATACAGAAAACGTCGTATAAAGAGAGACCACTAAAGTAGAGAAAAATATATGTAAAAGAGTATACTTACCTTGTATGTAGTTATATGTAGATCCATGATAAAAAAATAAAAAAAATTAGAAAGATCAACTAGAAATAATTAGCACCATATTAAAAATTATTAAGCAGTTCAGAATAATTAATTAATTAAAAGCAATAATATAATTAAGGAATAAGAAAGGTTTTATGTTTAAAGGGTTAGCATTAAATATCATATGTGTAAAAATTAAATATAATATAGCTTACTTACCGGGAATATATTTTAATGCAGTTCTTTTCTGAGTATTCATATATAAAAATGATTTAATATAATAGTACGAAGCTTCTGAAAGCATTGCTCACTGAGAATAATATCTGATTCACATCTGTATATATGACAAAACATGAACAAAGATCTGCACAAATTATAGAAATTTATATTTAATCTAAATATTAGTTCGTTCGGATCTGCGTGGATTCTAATAATCTGGACAAAATCTAAGTTGTGCATTCTTCCGGTCACAGACAAATAGGTATATATATATAAGGTTTTAATTTCATATTTGTTGTTAATAAAATTATACAACTGTTTTAAGTACATAGTTCAAATGTAATATTGGTAAGCTAATGAAATTCTTTGGGTTCTGATCAATATATTATATTTGTTGTATAAAAAAATATCTGTTTGTTATTAGAGTATGGACACATCAGTGTGTCCATGGTGGGCGGTATGTTTAGGCTGTATATGGTTATTTCGTTGCCATATAATTATAAAAAGAAAATATGTATTCTTGAATAAAATATGGTGGGAAATACACAGAAATTATATTGTTAAATAAAGTATTTTTATTCCAACAACCTCGGACTTATTCATTATATCATCAATTATTCACTA